TAGAGTTTCCTTGTCACTATGACGTCGTTTTCTAATGTCTTTGCTAGCTGGAAGTTTCGTTTATCTTCCAGAATAAACTTATTTGAAGTATAGTCAGGCCTGTTAATTTTCAAAATTCCAGATCCTCTGTCCCGTTGCAGAACCTTTATATGCCACAACAGTTTCAACTTTCTGATCACTGTACACTATTCAGCTTTTTAACAACACGTCTGGTTTATAGCTATATTCAAGAATCTGCTCGCGATATCTATCAACCTCGCCCGAAACCAACCTGCGTGTACCGTCGATCCTGGCGAGAGATTACTGAGGTATTCATTCTCACAACCTAAGTGAGCCTATGTGCTGAGTTTGTCTATCGCGTTTGGTTGAAAACTGTATTTCATTCTAAGCGCGAACACTTACAAATTTTCCCCTCCGATTTTCAATGTCTTGAAACTATCTACCAGGGGAACGTTGGGCCCTTGTTTGACAAACGAACAAACGATGGGCGTATGAACTGGACAATCAGTCACCGACTCCAAATGGGCACGATTCCCTGAATTCACTCCCCTGCATGGCGTGCAGGCCATTCGGCCAAACGCTCAGGGTGGTTTTCCCTAAGTAAACACCACACTTCAGCATGCGCAATTGGGTAGTACATTGCCCTCTGACAAATTCATGGTGTTGTGTTTTTTAACGATTTCTGTACGTTACCCTGAGGCCCATTGTTTTTTATGGCTGCATGTTTATTAGTAGGCTGTTGCAATTATATATCCAGCTTAATTTTTCACCTTCTCAGATTATCCCTATTAACAAACCACTGGCTAACACAGTGAAACAGTTACACCTTGTGTGGTCATCAAGCGATGGTATTAGTTCACTACAAAGAGTGAACTACATCAGACTTTCCTCAAAATCCAAACAGCGATTCTCATATCTGTGCTACAGCAAACCTTTTGGTGATTCTTGCACTTTGTGCGTTATTTTATGGACATTGTGTTGCTATCTCGTAAGCAACTAATAGGACCTTTGAAGCAATTGCCTTTGTGCTCGGTACTAGTGTCCCGTCTATTCCTGGTCTTCATAAATGATCTTGCAAGCGTGCTGTCTGCAAACTGTCTGCTATTTGCAGATGATCTAAAGATTTGGTGCATTATCGCTTCAGTGGAGAATCACACAACTCTACAAGATGACCTGGACAAAGCGCGCACATGGTCCAGCGAGGAGTTGCTGCAGTTCAACGCCACCCAGCGCAACATTCTGTGCACATGCTATCAGTGTATTCACAACTAACGCTTAGGACACAAATTCTACAACGGGCTTCTCATCTGTTCGCGTATATCCAAGAGGACCCTGAATGTTTAAGGCAGACTGAAAAGGCATCAAAGAAAGCAAACCAGCATTTTTTCTTTATTCGTGATCCGTTCGGAAAGTTCGACCCCTCAGTCTTTCCCAAAATGCTTGGCGCGTACGTAAGGCTGCAAATACCATACGCTATCCAAGAGTGGAAGCTCTGGCGTCTGACATTTCACAAGGGACAGCGACAAAATCCTCAAAGCTTTGTCCCATCTTCCCCATCCACTCAGAGTGACAGCGCTGCAAGTGTACACTGGCCGTTATTAGCATCTGCGGAGAGATCCGATAGTAGTGTATCAGATCTTGAGAAATCCCAACCACACTTGCCACTCTCGTTTGAAACTCAGTCAAAACATCTAAGAGGTCATCAGTTTAAGTTAACTAAGCAGTACCGCAGACTGAACTGGCGACGTAATTTGTACTTCCTCCGAGTGTCATAGCTCTGGAACGCTCTTCCTGCACATTTAATGAATGCCCCCTCCTTATCCCTTTTTTAAAAACGTCTTGATGATCATCTCACAGATTTACACTACGCAATATGACTTGTGTTTATCAGATAATGGTACTAGGGCATAAAATATAGTGGGCGGTGTCAGAAACATCATAAACTCCAGGCTATAATATTCGCACTTGTGCTGCTCCAACCCTTTGGTGAGCCATGTATCTCACACGATCCTTTACTGATACGGTTTTTAAATATTTTTAAAGTGTTACGTCCTATCCATAGTACGAAACATGTCAAGCATTTGCTTTTATACACATTATAAATTATTGCTCCATTGCTCAATGCTCCAGTACACGTCAAAACTAATGCTCTATTTTCCACCCAAACAACGCTATCACAGCACGCCTATTAAACATGCTGGCTGGTTTGCCGAACAACCACCTCGTGGTACCGGCTGGGTGGTTCGGGATTTTCCAGTTGCAGCAAATGGTTTGGCGGTAGTGTTCCAGGACGTGGTTGGTTTTCGCCTGGCAAGCGTTCTCCCTCGAAAAAGCCACATATGTCCGTTTAACAACACTGTGACGTGGCGGATGTGACTCGCCATTAAATAAAGTCACCGCCTCTTGCTTCATCCTGGCGAAGCATTGTATTCCAGCAAGTTTCTGCTGTAATTTTGGGTAGCATTGGGCCGCTGTTTGATAAAGGAACAATCGAAAGGCACATGAACTGGACAATCTGTCACCGGCACCCAATGGGCGCGTTTCCCTGAATTTGCTCCGCTGTCTTGCGGGCAGGCTATTCAGCCAAAGGCTCGGGGTGGTGTCCCCTGAGTCAACACCCTACTTCGGCTTGGGCGACCGGGTGGTATCTCGCCCTCTGACGAAACCATGAAATTTGATGTGTTGTGTTGTGTTTTCTTTTACTATTTCTGTACCTTCTTTTGTGTTCCATGGTTTCTGATAGATCAATATTTATGCATAGACTGTTGCAATATATATATATATTCATGAAAAGTGCTGTACTCAGCGGTTTGGTCAAAGCGGCTAAGTGTGTACTTTGAATAGCAAACAGTCGATTTAGTCAAGCAACACTATCTATCCGACGCATTGTTCTCATTTTAGGTGTTTAGATTTTGATGGCGGATCCACTTTATTGCTCATACTACCAACGACCATGAAAAAAAATCCATGTTGCTTTCCATACGTATAATCTGCTAGGTCTTCCAGTAGGAAACGCGTTACATGACGTTGGAGATGTAATCAGCTAAGTCACACACCGAAGCGATAAAATAGCACCATGTATTTAGATGATGCTTGCTAACCCTTACGGGCCCATAGATTTACTCTACACATTTCAGTGATTGAGATAAGCCCTCGGGTAGATAATTATCATCATGTCATTTGAATGGAAGGTCAACAACCTGGGGATTTTCAGCCAAATATTTGACATCACTAAATTTTGAAAAAGGTAGTACCAGTCGTCAGATTCCGATACACGTAGTCAACGATTCATCAGAGCACTGCTGTGTTGTGTGTTCCGGAAAAACATTACACCAATTTACAACTGCGACGAATGAATAAACGATGCTCTTGGATCATTGTGATCTAATCCACGGGAGTTAAAGAAACCAAAATGGAATCAGACCCTTGTGTATCCTAAGTTACACTTACGAAAGTCAGGGTAACCTCCTGCCAGATTCGTTGAGGAGAGTAATACAGGTAAATGGTCAAATGAAGTGGGAGGGAAGAGTACGGGGACGAGACATTCCATTCCTAGAGAGGGGTTGTGCTGGATATGCGCGTAGCGTTGCCGACCGTCAGAGACCGTCGGAAGTGCTGTTGCTGTAGGTACATTGAACTGAGCTTGTGACTAGTAGGTTTCAACCCTGCTGGTTAATTGGATGAAGGAAGGCGGCCATCGGACAGCTCCCATCCTGTGATGATGATGATGATGATGATGATGATGCTCATCGTGAGTACGGCCAAGCTATGACCACTGCAGTATGTTGTATCATTAGTTCTGATTGAAGATAAACAGGGTCACCCAGGGAAGTCCACGGATAGTTCGAATTACGCATGACATCAAAACAACACCTACTTTAGTACCTAGACGATTGCCAAGACAATGGTAAGCAGAAAATGTATTATACTGATGTAACTGCCTTTGGGGATCATGTAAGCTCAACAGATGTAGCAAGAAGAGAAGCAATTGTTTGCGATCGAAGCTAACGTTCCACTTGACTACAGTCCGACACAGTCAAGGATGATTTCTACCGCCAGCTTTACCACCTGTGCAGCAGAGCCTGCAAATCCGATACTGTTGACCTTGCTAAGGACCTCTATGAACGGGTCGGTAGCATAACAGCATGGGAAAGTCGCCTAGGTGATCCCTATGCTCTGGATGAGAGCCGTTCAGATAATGCAGACCTCACATACTGTGCGAAGATAATCATCTGTATTTGTCATGCACCAGCTTGGGCCATCCCAAGGGCAGTTCCCCTACATGGAGACCACTTTTTCATTCCAATCCTAGTCTTAGATTGATCATATCGCAATTAGTTTCAGATGATGACGTAGTGTGAAAGTTCGTAGATTCACCTGGTCTACGTTTCTCGACCCAGACCATGCTGTTCCTTGTGCAACCATCTGCATGAGTTTTGGGGACTCACCGAAAACAAAGCACTGTAAAATGGATAAAATAAACCCTACTTTCTCGGTTCGGCTGAGCTACCAAACTTCTCTGGTCGATGCGCATGGCTGTGACTTTTCGCAAGACGTTGATGGTCACTGGACGTTCTGGCAGTGAACCGTGACCTTTTCTGAGCAGTTAGTCCGTGGTCTTATTTAGCACCCCATGAAAGCTGGATCTCCATGCTTACTTCGAATCTAGTTGACCGCCACAGAAGTTACCCTGCAGAGTCTAATCACAATAAAATGCGCATTTCTGTTGGTGGACAGCTCAACCAAAGCCTACGCAGCGATCGTGAAGCATGGTGGTCTCAGCGCGCTTCGGAAATGGAGGCTACAGATTTCTCCGCATTATTTGCTAGCTCTACAAGCTCATTAAATCCACTGGCCACAAAAGGCCTGTTGTCATTGAGACTATTGGCGGAACTGTTGGTTCCCGATTATCAAACTACAGTGACGCCTGGATCAATGGGCAGGACATTTTTATCCCCAGTTCAATTGGCCTCAACCGTCCACTTGTATGCTCTACGAACCCACCTGCCCGCGCTGAGTCGTCACGCTTGATCCACCATGGAAGCGGAAATTTGTCTCGTTATCGGACATCTAAGACGATTCAAGACTGCAGGCTCAGATAGAATTTCTTCGGCGCTGTTCAAGTATGGAGGCACAGTTGTCATTAGTCAGCTAACCACATCGTTCTCCGAAATCTGGCATGCGGAAAAGGTGCCTTCTTGGGCGACTAAGATACCGTGCCGAATTTTATGAAGGGTAGTTGCACTTCATGCACCAATCCCTGGGGATTAATCTCATTTCCTTGCCACAAAACCGTTAGCGTCCACACTTCTCTGTAGACAATATGCCATCCATGAATCGAAATACCGCAAAGAACCCGCCGGCTTCCGACCTGGCCGCAGGTGCGTGGACCAAATATTCACGCTCCACCAAATCCTGGAACACCGCCACCTTTACTAGAGGCATACCATCGTCGTTTTCCTAGACACCAGTGCTGCATTCGACTCGGTTAATCGAGGTGTACTATGATATTATTTGCTAAAGAATGGGGTACCAGAAAAATACACTGCCATCCTACGCGCACTGTACTTCCACATCTCCGGCAGAGTGAGAGTGTATGGCAAGCTTTCGTCGTTCTTCGCTGTCAATATCAATGTGCGCCGGGGCCGCTATATGTTCCCGTTCCTCTTCAATTTGTGACTGAAAAGGTCTTGTTGAGAACAATTGACGGTTGCCATAATTTTGACCTACAGCTTCTACCGGTAAGCGAGCAACAGACGTTGATTATGCCGATGACATCGTCTTACTTGGTGACTAATTACAAAAGTATAGCCCATTCTAGACCGCTTGGAGATTGAGACATCTAGGTACGGAATGTCCGTTGCTCAGTCAAAGTGTAAAGTGATGCTTCAGTATTGTCACTCGCCAATTCGCGTGCTCACTACTAAAATTGGAGAGCTTGAACAAGTGGATAACTTTGCCTACGTAGGCAGCTATGTGTCTGCTGGTGGTGCCGTCAGAAAGGAAGTCTCTCACCGAGGCTCCTCTACGCTACTCTGCGCTTTTGCACGACGCTCAATTCCGCAATGATGACGTCACCTCGTTTGGTGACGAAACGTTTGCAACAAAAGTTGCCAAGCTCAGCGAACAGCTCAATAGCCAAGGATGTCTCTCTTGGCATTGCCAAAGTTCGGTCGGTAATTGTCAAAGTGAAACACTTGTGACATCGTTGATATGTCTCTCCATTTGTTAACGGACGTGTTTACATTACCACCGTTCGGGAGGTGTTGTCATACGGGAGCGAGTCATGGACAGTTCCCGTAGACGATATGCGCCGGCTCTCGACCTTCGACAATGGGTACTTGAGGAGGATTGATTGTGTTTGGTGGCAACTACACATCTGCAGTGGTGAAGTCAAAAGTCGTGTCTTAGTGCATGCGAGTACTCCCTTTAAAAAGCTGATTTTGCTACGTCCGTTAAGACGGTTCTATCACTTCCTTCGCATGTCAGCTACAAGTTTGCTTTATTGCGCTCATTTCGCTCGTTCAGGACCTGGCTGGAAGAGACCACATGGCGGTCAGCCCTTCACGTGGAAACAGCATATAAAATCGTTGACTTGCCATCGTTGCACCCACACGCCTGCCTGGTTAGGGACCAGAGGATGAAGGGTACCGATGGCTGGAAACAATTCAGGATTTGGAGCGCAAACCAAACTATACCATTTCCCTGGCCAAGTTGTCCTCTTGGGCAACAGAAATAATCTGAGGAAGCATTCAACATGAGTCTACTCAATTAATTTGTTCCGTGCGTACGCCAGTCGATTGTGCAGGTGTGTAGGTGTGCGTGTATTGCCCGTCGCCTTCAGCCAATTGGACCTCAGACGCACTAAGTCATAGGGGTGCAGGTGGGACGCTTCAGCTCCTACGCACGGAACAAATTCATTGAGTAGACTTGTGTTGAATGCCCCCTCAGATTATTTCTGTTGCCCAAGAGGACAACTTGGTCGGGAAATAGTGTAGTGAAGGATCTGTGTACAATATTGTTTAGATATGGATGCTTACTGCTTAAAGAATTGAAAAAGACATAACATGAAGATATGACTGTGTAAAGTAAAAAATGATACTCCGTCAATTCTTTTCTTGCGGCACAATAACTGAAGTCTTTTGCTTACGTTCAGCTAATGTGTCACGACCAGACATTGCTTAAACCCGTCTTCTTTTAGTGATTTCCAAGATTTTGTTCGGATCTATGTCTATTCAATAGACTGCTGCTTACACTGTTAATACGCTATAGTTCTGCTGTGCGATCGCAACAAAAATATTGAAACTATAGCTGTTTTTGGGATAAAACGAATAGACACCCACCCACTTTTCTGTCTCCTGAACAACTTTGTCCAATAACCTTGGCACCAGAAGTGGTCGTGTTGGCCGGATGCTTTCGCGTTCCCTTGCGGTTGTAACTATTCGTTCCCATGGATCTGGATAGGGATCGTATTCGTTAGGTCCAACTTTGTGATCCGCTTTATGTAAGGGTTGTCGTTTGGCGGTCTGCGGAAGAAACCGTATAGAGATATACAGTAGCAAGAGTCGTTGCGTTTTATATGTTTGCGAAAGTACCCATGAGGATCAAATAATTAGTCTGCAAAATGTGTTGTCCCAGAAACTTCTTCCTACTCAACTGTTAAAGCGATCTGATAGGACTGCTAGGTTTTGTAAATTCATTTATCTTCAAATATGCTTAATGGGCTTGCCAGCGCATGACACAGAGGCAAGAGATGTCAGCAAAGAGCGTATAATCTTATTTTTCCGTGGTTACAAAGGCCTTGGAAAATTTCGAAATATGATTTTGATTAGAAATGGGGTCAACAATGTGGTTTAACAAGTGGACTAACTTAATTGGTTGCACAAATATAGATGTGTAGAAGTGTTATTTTCAGCTTTGATGATTGATTTCCGAAGGAAACTATCCCAAGATTCCTCGAGGTTTTCCGTATCAAATTGGTTGCATCTTTTTCAATCGCATTCCGTCAGGTCGCAACCGATATAGCCCAAATCAATAAGGCCATACCCTATGCTTTCCATCTGCTTTTCAAGTTAACGATATAAAAATTTGATTCACTTACGCGTTTGGACCAACCGCAGCCTCCGTAACGAGTGAACTTGGGGTTACCAAGTTTACCATAGTAAGCCGGTCCCAAAGTAGTGTCACGACTCGGGCCCTTTTGAAGCCGCAGCCTTCCACCGGGTCCTTCTGTATACCCATGAACAAATCTTCCAGACGGTATGCTTGGGGCACTGCGCGAGCGAACGAGGTACACTTTATTGCACTGAAAAGAATGATCACAAATTAGCGCACCCTTCAAATTTGCAAACGGATTAGGGAAAAGGGAAGGACTGATTAACTGGAACCACGTGAAAGGGGTCCTGAAGCTTTAATGTAACTTCAAGGATGTTACAACTGTCATAAGTGCACCGAACTATGCATCACGAATAACGAAACAATATCAGAAATAAGCGGATGAGCTATCTCAGTACTGGGCAGTTATTGGATGAGACCTAACATCTATGGCCACTGACCCGAAGGATCCAACTTCGAAACTTGTATTTTGTACTTTGTTGCTTTGTCGTTACCAAGTAGCAGTGCAATCCTAGGTATAATATTTATTCTATAAACCAACTTATTAACAGAAAATTGTACCAAATGTATAGAGTATGAAATGTCATCTATGTAGTAACCTGTTTAGTACAGGGTTCTAGATAAGATGTCGCTTTCATAATCTTATACTACCATGTAAGCAATTACGCAATAAAAAATGACAAAGTTCCTAAGTCGTTTCCGTTGAGGGTCCTTGTAATAGTAGGCGTGTTAAAATGGACCATTAGAAACAGGTGGACTCAAATACAGTTCTGAAAGGACACTTGTCTTCTGACCCAAATGGCGGACTTCTTACAGAGTACGTGTTGATCTGTGTCATCTCAGTTTTGAAGTTAATGCTTGCATTCTCCAGAAGTATAGCCCCAATGAGAACTAAACGTCCATAGCTGGACGTTTTCATATATATATATATATATATATATATATATATATATATATGTCCTGCAGAGAAGTATTCAGAAGCGGCGCAGCGTTTGTAGGTGCGCTGCATTCGATTTACTAACCGCGCGCTTGCATGCTAAGTCACTTTATTTAAGTTGGTTGGTTTTTAATTTTGCCATAATGCTTTTCTTTCTCATATAAATGTCTACCTGTACTCTATTCCATTAATTTGTACCCCTTGGTAAAGCCAACTGTATTCGATTTCGATAGCATTTTTGTGTTCGAGGTATTCTGTAAAGTATACTTTCGGACCTCGTGAACTTATCTAGGATTCGTTTGTAAACAAATTATTTTATATGCTCATTAATTTAAGGTTTATGTCACGGTTTCCCTATGCATTTATCGAGTTATTTTATTGTCTCTCTCTCTCTCTCTCAAGTTATAGGCTGTTGTTTGATATCCCCGGTGTGGCTGCGCTTGATGTGCATGTTGACAAGGTGCCTACCTGTCTGTTACCCACTACCTCGTCTATACTGGCTCCAGGAGACAGTTTGTCGTTGCTAGAGGGGACGGGGTGCACAGTCCTTGTGGCTGTGTTAGGCTCGAATAGCGGTTCCATGCACTCAGCTTGGAGCGGACTACGGTCCAGCCAGCGCCTTGTGTGCGCTTGATTCCACAAATACAGCGTGCTTGTGTTTGCCTGTGAAGGAGTGTGGGCCGGCTCCGTTGATGAAACGTGGCTCCCATCCACATACCTCCCGGTCTTATTCCTTCGGATTTACACTGGATATGGGGCGTGTGGATGGAGCTGTGGGTGGTGCAGCGCAAGCCATCCATGGTCCCTCTGTAGGCGCAGGCGTCCTGTGACTTGCCACAGTGACAGGCAAATCGGAAACCGGATGCCGCCAACCATTGGCCACAGTTAGACAAACGGGACGATAGTTTACTGGGTCATGGAGATTCCCTCCTTTATATCTGGGCTTCACAATGCCCAGATTCCAAGCTAGTGGAAGGCGTCCGAATTCAATAGAGGAACGAAACACATGACCAGCTGGGGCTACAATGTACTTAGCCACGGTCTTGAGAAACAGTGGGTGCAGGCCATCAGGACCGGAGTGTGATTTTTACTGCTCAGCATGGCTTTCGTAAGTCACTCTCATATGCCACCAATTTGCCAGTTGCCAGAGAGAAATGTGCGAACTTACTGGATGCGGGCAAAAGTATGGATGTTATGTACGTTGACCTCAACAAAGCGTTTGACAAACTTCCTCATGAGAGGCTTTTGTTCAAACTTCAAGTGATTGGTGTCTCAGAGAGGGTTCTCTCATAGATACTTGATTTCCTTTCAGACCGAGTTATGCGTGTTAAAGTCAATGATAGATATTTAGCCCCCGTCCTTATGAGCAGTGGCGTCCCTCAAGGCTCTGTTCTTTGACCAGAGTTGTATAAATTCTTTGTTAACGACCTTCAACTCTCCGGACCGAATGTTTGATCTATGCTGACGATGTGAAGTTATGGATGGAGGTATCCAGCACTGAGGAGGCTGACCGACTGCAAACCACACTGGATAGGCTGCACGATTGGTCAATTAAATGGCAGTTGCCTATAAATCGCGATAAATGTTCCGTACTCCTCATTTGTGCTACTGAACCATTCGGTGTTTACCACCTTGGCGGTTATTTTCTTAATAATGGGAAACAGGAAAGTGATCTTGGGGTTATTGTATGCTCTGATCTAAAAACAACGCAGGATACTTTGAGGATGGTTTCCGCGGTTAACAGACTACTGTGTTCTATCCGAAGCGCCTTCTTACTATTGACTCAGGAGATTTTCGTACTTGTGTTTTCCTCCAATGTGCCTCCAAGCCGCGAATATGGAGTATCCGCAGTTCATCCGCTTACAAGGTTTGAACATGAATGGATTGAGAAAGTTCAGCTGCCCGGTGTTAAGTGCATCCATGAGCTCCGACACCTGCCATCTAACATTCGTCTCCAGTAGTTGAATATGTTCCCTCTGGCACATCGGCGTCGCCGATGCGATCTGATCTATACACGGTGCATTCTACTAGGTGAGATGGGGATCGAGTTCCAAGGTTGCTTCCAGATTAACACCGAGTGTTCGACTCGGCTTCACTGCTGGAAACTTTAAACCTAGGAGACCCAGACTTCACTCTGACACTACCTATGGACTCGTGTGGTGATGACTAAAACTCCTTGCCTGTTTCCGCCATCAACGCACATACTGAGGAATGTTTTAAACGATTGTTGGATTTATACTTGCCAAATTTGTAGAGTTCTTGTTGTTTCTTATGCAATGTAATAGCCTGACTTGTTGATTGCTGTTACGAAAACACCTGCGATGATTGGGTGGTGGAGCTGACGAAGCTCATTCCTTTTGCTCTCTACCTTTCAATGATTTCAACGGTTGAATGAACTCGCACACTTCGCTCAAGCTAATTGTGGTAAACTTGCGTTACTTTATCATGTGGTATTGTTTAAATAACTTTCGGACATTTTGCACTTATTGCGGATTCGCTTATAACTAATTTCTTCCATATGCTCATTTAGCGAGTATCTACGTCGTCATATACGTTTACCGCATCCGATATGTTTATTTGATATGGGCCTTTCGAATGATTGGCTGTCGTTTGACATCCTAGACGTGGCTGCGCTTGATGTGCATGTTGGCAAGTTGCCTACCTGTCTATTAACCACTACATCGTCCCTACTGGGTCAAGGAGACAGTAGAGCGTTGCTGGAGGGGACGGGGTGCACTGATCTTGTGGTCGTGCTAGGCTAGAATAGTGGTTCCATGCACTCAGCGTGGAGCGGACTACGGTCCAGCCAGCGCCTTGTGTGCACTTGATTCCCCAAATACAGTTTGCTTGTGTTTGCCTGTGAAGGAGTGTGGGCCAGCTCCGTTGATGAAACATGGCTGACTTCCACATGCCTCCCGGTCTTATTCTTTCGGGTTTACACTGGATTTGGGGTGTGCGGATGGAGCTGTGGGTGGTGCAGTGCAACTCACCCATGGTCCCTCTGTAGGCGCAGGCGTCCTGTGGCTGGCCACAGTGACAAGCAAATCCGAACCCGGATGCCGCCAACGATTGGCAACTGTCCAACGAATAGACATAGAGCCCAAATAAACCATGAAAATCATAAGAATAATACAGGCTTAATCACCATATCATCATCATGGTCCATTAGCTGAAGGTGAGCAACACACTTCAGCTATTGTGCCGTAACAAGAACGGAACTGTTTTTGTTAGTTAATCACACCCCACTTTGCTTGCCGTTCTCAACTGTTAAGCAGTACATGCATGCAGCTAAACAAGCATGTATGCGAAGCTTTTGTTTCAAAAGCGAAACATTGTATATCATAATAAATATATTAACCAGTCATCTATCAAACCTTCTGAAATATGTATGGAAATCTTCCATTGGTTTCGACTACAAGTCATATCCTGCATTGTTTCTAACCATCGGCAGTCTTCGTCCTTTGGTCCCCAACCAGACAGGCGTGTGAATGCAACAGCAGCAAGACGTAACGTCAACGACTTTATATGCTGACGCCAAGTGGACGGCTGACCACCACTCGGCCTATTCCAGTCAAGCCCTGCACGAGCAAAAAAGGTGCAGTGGAACAAACGCTCAGCGGACATAAGCAAAACTTGACCGAGCCATATTAACGGACGCAGCAAAACCAGCTTTCTGTAGGGTGTACTCGCATACTCTAAGACACGGCATCGGACTTTACTATTGTAAATACGTTGCTGCCACTACACACGAGCAATCCTCCTCAAGTCGGCGGATGCCATCAACGCGAACTTGCCATGAATCACTTCCATATAACAACACAGCCCGAACGGTGGCACTGTACACGCAACCCTTTACCAAGCGTGAGACATCCCGACGATGCCACAAGTGCTTCAGTTTGATGAACGCTGACCGGGCTTTTGAGATGCGGAGAGTAACTTCCTTCTTATTGGAGCCAATAACAGACATGCTGCTGCCCAGGGAGACAAAGTTATCAATTTTTCAACTTGTGTGCCTTCAAGTGTGAGCACAGAAATATGTGGGTGACAATCCTGAAGGAATAACTTACACTTCGATGGAGCGAAGCGCAGAATGCACTTAGATGCCACAATCGCGAAACGGTTTAGAACGGTTTGCATACTCTGTGAGTCGTCACCAAGTATCACGAAGTCATCATCGTAATCAAAGTCAGTGGTGAGATTGCCAGCAGTAGTTGCAGCCCAATGTTTTGAAACGCTTCCAAAGCTTTAGACAG